TGTCTGTCTATTCTTTCTGCATTGAGTCTCTTCTGTCCTAGGTCATAGTACTCTGTGGATGAAGGATAGGGCTTGGATGACGAAACCCTAGTCCGACCTTGTAGGGCTAAGACTGTGGCTGATCCAACTTTCCAGGGGGGCATAACCCTCCCAAGGACCGGTGCTGACCGGCTGGAAACGGTTGGTAGGACTCAGTGGGCCTGAACGGCAGTTAGGGCTGACACACCAGACAGTCTTTAAGTGTTGAGGGCCTGTTTGAACCACTCCCCTACCGGACCAAGTAAGGCTGAGGACCTGTGTCTGACGACTCGACTGTCCCGGAGGTCAAACCCTCCCAAGGACCGGTACAGACCGGCGGGCTGCTCGGTGTGGCACAGTAGGCCGGAAAGGCTGAGTTGTGGGCTGAAAGCACAGGCAGAACCAAGTTGATCACGTCGTCCTGTCTGCGACGTTAAAGAATTCTTGCGGAGTTACGGGGGATCTCCTTAAATGCCTCCTGATCAGCCACTGGTTCAGTAATGACAGTCCTAGTTGGCAGGATCCCTGTCAGGATTCTGTAAGTCTCTAATTGAGTCCTAGGTTGGTAGTCAGGGGTTAGAATCTACGTGGCGAGGAGTGGAATCATCCCAATTGTGCATCTATCACCATGGTGGACCTACGTAGTGGGAAGAGCACTAGCCCCTATACCACTGAGCAGCAAGAAAAGATGGCCGCCTTAGTCAAAGAGAATAAGGAGAGGAAAAAGCGTGAGAAGCAGGCGAAGCTAAAGGCTATCGCAGACGAGCGAGCGGCAAAGATGAAGGAAGTGGAGGAGGAGATGAAGAAAAGGAGAAGGTTGCTGAAGGAGAAGTGGCAGTAGAAGAAGAAGCGGCAGCAGAAGAAGAAAAGGAGAGGATGAGGATCGAGAGTGGAGAAGGGAGCAGTGGCGGCACGATGAAGAGGGACGTGGATGCAAACATTGAGAAGAAGATAAGTGAGTGGGTTGCTAATTTATCGTTGGGGGAAGACGAGGCGGCGGAGTCATATGTGACTGAGGATGAGAAGGCCGCACTGACCGCTGAGCTAGCAGCCATGACGGATCCTATGGAACGAAGAGAGAGGGAAGACGAGCAGAAGTTGCAATGGAAGTTGAGAATGAAGAGGGAGAAGAGAAGGAGGAGAGAAGAAGTGAATAAGATGACCGCAGTCGTGGCAAAGGTGCAGAAGTGTAGAGCGGAGGTGCTGGCCCAGCCAGATGATAAGGCCAAGTGGGACAAAGTACTGGGCTATTTAGAGGTGTTGAGCAAGGCCTGGATGGAGGAGCGCCAGGCAATTTGGAGCCAGGATGTAGCGTTGAGTGCCATGCGGTCCGGTTTCAGGGATTTTGCGCGCGAAATCGTCACCCACATTGGGGGGGAAGTTAAACAGTGGAGGGACAATGTAGGAAAGTTCTGTGAAGGCGCCATTGAAGGTGCAAAAGCCATAGCCACTGTAGATGGCGAGACCAGACCCCGTAAGGAGCCTGTCAAGCTCAAGTTCCCAGATGCGTACGGGGGAAAGAAGGAGGAGAACTTTGACAACTGGGAGGCCAGTGTCAACAGTTGCATTTATTTGCAACATATCCTGATAGAGGAGCAAGTCCTCGTGGCCTTCCAGGCCCTGAAGGACGAAGCGGCTAGCTTCGCCAGGTCCCTTGCGCGCGCAGCCGGTTGTGAAAACAACCTGGTTGCATATTCCAAAGTCACCCCCCTCTCTCAATTCCTCAAGCTCCTTAAGGAGCGATTTGCTGACCCAACGCGAGGCGTCAGAGCCTCAGATAAGTTGCAGACAATCCACTCACGGCAGTGGAGGAGTGCCAATGCACTCAAGGGTACCATGGACGACTTAGTAGCCGTCTCGGACCATGGGGTCACTGAGCCCCAGCTGGTCCGTTGTTTTATCGTGCCATGCCAAAGGCCCTACGCGGGCATTTCTTTGACAAGTCTCAGCAGGCCGGCATCACTTACGATGCATTGAGTAGAGAAGTCGTCCTGTATGAGTCGAAGTCTATGCCAGTTACCACTTTCTGGCATAAGGACCTGGAGAAGGGGAAGAAGTGGAAGGATCGTACCATCTCAGGCCAAGTCAAGGCCAAGGACCACTTGATCCTGACATTAGAGGAGGGTGGTACAGACGAGGTCCCATATGATCAGATTGAGTGGGGCCTAGGGGAGGAGGACAGTAGTGTAGGGCAAGGGAGGTCTTACGCTGCTGTCGCGGCTGGAGGGAGGCCGCAAGGTAGAGGAGGAGGCCAGGGCCAAAGGGGCCAGGCCATGGGAGGCCGAGGATCGGGCGCGCAGGGGGTTGGCGGCCAAGGAAACCGCCAAGCGGGAGGTGGGGGTCAAGGTCCCCCGCCAAATCGCCAAGGTAATCGGTCCCCACAGCGTAGAGGTGGAAGGGCACCTCAAGGAGGATGGCACCCAGGCTTGCCACAAGGCAGACCGTGGGAAGATCTGGGCTTGGACCAGCAATTATGGCAAGAACGCGTGAACATGGGTCAGTGCGTATTCTGTGGTGACCCGGCCCACGTTATTAAATATTGTCCTAAGTATAGACAGGCTTGTTGGGCTGCCCAACAGTCAAAAGGCAGCCGCTAGTAGGGGTTGCAACTGCCCCTACTTCMAGGCCATGTGGAGAAGTGAGCGCGTGCGAACAGGACACTCCCAACCCACATGAGTCTATGGCAGAGGTTGCAGGCCCGTGCCTAGGTAGCTGTCCAGAGACCGCCTGTGTTAGCGTCTCTTTAGGCACGTCCCTCACAGGCGTGGCAGAAGAGTTACGAGAGAGAATGCCGGCCTGGGCCAAGATGAAGAGAGAGAGTAAAGGACAACTGATTTTGGTAGATGTAGAGGTTTTTAGAAATAGAGTAGGGGCCCTTATAGACTCAGGGGCTACCCGTAGTTATATTAGCCGTAGGGCGCTGAAGAAGCTGAGGCTAGGACTAAAAGTCCAGAAGTTAGTCGACCCCATGGTTAGTGTCCTCGCAGACAACCTCACGATGCGAGTTGAGGACTATGTAGAGGGAGTCCAGGCGTATTTTCGCCTAGAGAAAGATGGGAAGGTGGAGAGAGTTCTCCATTCCCTGACTCTCCTCGTGCAAGATGACCTTCCCTTCGATATAGTGTTAGGAATGGATTGGGGAGAGGCAGCACGGGCCACACTCCAGTTGAGAGAGCATGAGTGTAGGCTCCCTAGTCCGTCAGGCGAGGYTAAGACTGCCCGCTTGTTCCATGTGTCTGGTGTAGACAACACCTTGGCACATTGCTGTCTCAGTGCTCCCGCGTTCGCGCGATTAATAAAAAAGGAGCAGTTAGAGGAGCAGGTCTTTGTAGTGTATGTTAGACCTGTCACTGAGGGCAAGGAAGAGGTAGCTTCCATGAATCCAACCATAGCCAAGTTGCTGGAAGAGTTCAAAGACCTGACTGAGTTGCTGACAGGGGTAGTGTCGCGACCCATCCAACACCGAATAGAGATAAAGCCTGGCAGTCGAACTCCTAAGGGTGCAGTCTACAGGATGTCCCCTAGAGAATTAGAGGAGTTTCGCAAGCAATTAGACGAACTCCTTGAGAAGGGTTGGATCAGGCCCAGTTCGTCTCCTTTTGGAGCACCAGTCTTGTTTGTCCCCAAGAAGGAAGGAGAGCTTCGTATGTGCATAGACTATAGGGGTTTGAATGCGATCACAGTGAAGAATGCTGAGCCGCTGCCCAGGATAGACGATCTTTTAGATCGGGTGCAGGGTTGTAAGTATTTTTCTAAGATAGCCTTAAAGTCCGGATACCATCAAATAGAAGTCCACCCTGATGATCAGTATAAGACTGCGTTCCGGACTAGATACGGGCACTATGAGTTCGTAGTGATGCCCTTTGGACTAACCAACGCGCCAGCTACCTTCCAGCGTTGTATGAATGACCTGTTTAGACCGTGGTTAGATAAGTTTGTAGTAGTCTATCTAGATGACATCCTAGTTTTTAGTAAGACCCTCCAGGAACACCAGGGTCATCTGAGGTAGGTCTTGGAGAAGCTACAAGAGGCTAACTTCAAGATCAACGCAAAGAAGTGTGAGTGGGCCAAGACACAAGTTTTGTACTTGGGCCATGTGTTGGACGGAGATGGCATTAAGCCAGAGGACAGCAAGATAGCGGCGATTAGAGACTGGCCGACGCCCCGCACATTGACAGAGTTGCGGTCGTTCCTAGGCTTAGCTAACTACTATAGGAAGTTCGTGAGGAACTTCTCCACTATCGCCGCACCCTTGCTCAGACTGCTGAAGAAAGAGGCAATCTGGCAATGGGACAAAGACTGTACGTCTACGCTCAAGAAGTTAAAGCGCGCGTTAATAGAATATCCCGTCCTCAAAGTAGCAGATTCGTCCTTGCCATTTGTCGTTACCACGGACGCAAGTCAATATGGGATAGGCGCCGTGTTGCAGCAAGACGACGGCAATGGCTATAGACCCGTAGAGTTCATGTCAACGAGGATGCCCTGTGAGAAGGTTGCTACCTCCACGTACGAGAGAGAACTCTACGCTCTCAGGCAGGCTTTAGACCATTGGAAGCACTATCTGCTTGGGAGGCACTTCAAAGTGTATTCTAACCACGAGACACTTCGTTGGTTAAAGACACAGTCCAAGATGACACCTAAGTTGACTAGGTGGGCCGTAGAGATAGACCAATTCGACTTTGAGCTCAAGCCAGTGAAGGGCAAATACAACGTAGTTGCGGATGCTCTGAGTAGGAGATCATACTACTTTGGAGCCGTAGTACACTATCTGGATATAGGGAGAGACCTGCAGGAGAAAGTGAGGCAAGCATATGCGCAGGACCCTATCTATAGCGACCTCCTAAAGAGAGTTAGAGAGGCCCCAGAGACTGAACCAGATTACCGCACTTCAGACGGGTTGCTGTTTGAGAAGACTAATGTATTTGACCGCGTGTGCGTCCCCAACAGGGAAGTGATCCGCAGTTTAATTTTAGGGGAATGCCACAATACTGAAGTTCATTTCGGTTGGCAAAAGACACTAGCCAATCTGATGCGTGCGTATACCTGGTCAGGGATGAAGAATGACTACATAGAGTATGTCCGCAGTTGTAAAGTGTGCCAGAGAAATAAGTCTACTACACGCGCGCCCCTAGGTCTTCTCAGACCCTTGCCTATTCTGGATCAGCCGGGAGACTCCGTGTCCATAGACTTCATGGACACCCAAGTCAAGGGTAGACATGGTAAGAGCCAAGTCATGGTCGTAGTTGACAGCTTTAGCAAGTATGCAGTTTTCGTTCCTTTGCCTGCAGAGGCACGTACCGACTTAGTTATACAGAAGTCTTTTGACTTTTGGGTTAGTGAGAATGGAATCCCATTGTCAATAGTTATTGATAGAGAACTCATGAGAGTTTACGGATCTAAGTTGCAAATGTCATCTGGCCGTCACCCAGAGACTAACGGTCAGACAGAACAGATGAACAAGATCCTACAGCAAGTTTTGCGCATGTACATTAGACCAGATCAGATTAACTGGGATGAGATGTTGCCTAAGGTAGCTAGTGCATACAACAACAGCGTGCATCTATCCACCTGTCGCACTCCCAATGAGTTGCACAAGTCCTTTAGACCACGCAGACCGTTCGAAGGACT